TGGATGTAGTGCGGATGACAAGAAACAGATGATTGCTGATGTTATGAATGAAAAGAAGTTGGATGTCCTGGCCCTAAGCGAAACAAAGCTGAAGGGGGTAGGAGAGTTTCAGTGGGGGGAAATAAATGGATTAAATCTGGAGTATCTGAGAGAGTTAGAGCAAAGGAAGGGGTAGCAGTAATGTTAAATGATCAGTTATGGAAGGAGAAAAAGAGAATATGAATGTGTAAATTCAAGAATTATGTGGATTAAAGTAAAGGTTGGATGCGAGAAGTGGGTCATAATAAGCGTGTATGCACCTGGAGAAGAGAGGAATGCAGAGGGGAGAGAGAGATTTTGGGAGATGTTAAGTGAATGTATAGGAGCCTTTGAACCAAGTGAGAGAGTAATTGTGGTAGGGACTTGAATGCTAAAGTAGAGAAACTTTTAGAGAGGGTGTGGTAGGTAAGTTTGGGGTGCCAGGTGTAAATGATAATGGGAGCCCTTTGATTGAACTTTGTATAGAAAGGGGTTTAGTTATAGGTAATACATATTTTAAGAAAAAGAGGATAAATAAGTATACACGATATGATGTAGGGTGAAATGACAGTAGTTTGTTGGATTATGTATTGGTAGATAAAAGACTGTTGAGTAGACTTCAGGATGTACATGTTTATAGAGGGGCCACAGATATATCAGATCACTTTCTAGTTGTAGCTATACTGAGAGTAAAAGGTAGATGGGATACAAGGAGAATAGAAGCATCAGAGAAGAGAGAGGTGAAGGTTTATAAACTAAAAGAGGAGGCAGTTAGGGTAAGATATAAACAGCTATTGGAGGATAGATGGGCTAATGAGAGCATAGGCAATGGGGTCGAAGAGGTATGGGGTAGGTTTAAAAATGTAGTGTTAGAGTGTTCAGCAGAAGTTTGTGGTTACAGGAAAGTGGGTGCAGGAGGAAGAGGAGCGATTGGTGGAATGATGATGTAAAGAGAGTAGTAAGGGAGAAAAAGTTAGCATATGAGAAGTTTTTACAAAGTAGAAGTGATGCAAGGAGGGAAGAGTATATGGAGAAAAAGAGAGAAGTTAAGAGAGTGGTGAAGCAATGTAAAAAGAGAGCAAATGAGAGAGTGGGTGAGATGTTATCAACCAAATTTTGTTGAAAATAAGAAAAAGTTTTGGAGTGAGATTAACAAGTTAAGAAAGCCTAGAGAACAAATGGATTTGTCAGTTAAAATAGGAGAGGAGAGTTATTAAATGGAGAGTTAGAGGTATTGGGAAGATGGAAGGAATATTTTGAGGAATTGTTAAATGTTGATGAAGATAGGGAAGCTGTGATTTCGTGTATAGGGCAAGGAGGAATAACATCTTGTAGGAGTGAGGAAGAGCCAGTTGTGAGTGTGGGGGAAGTTCGTGAGGCAGTAGGTAAATGAAAGGGGGTAAGGCAGCCGGGATTGATGGGATAAAGATAGAAATGTTAAAAGCAGGTGGGGATATAGTTTTGGAGTGGTTGGTGCAATTATTTAATAAATGTATGGAAGAGGGTAAGGTACCTTAGGATTGGCAGAGAGCATGCATAGTTCCTTTGTATAAAGGCAAAGGGGATAAAAGAGAGTGCAAAAATTATAGGGGGATAAGTCTGTTGAGTGTACCTGGTAAAGTGTTAGGTGGTTTATAATTGAAAGAATTAAGAGTAAGACGGAGAATTTGGATAGCAGATGAACAAGGAGCTTTTAGGAAAGGTAGGGGGTGTGTGGACCAGGTGTTTACAGTGAAACATATAAGTGAACAGTATTAGATAAGGCTAAAGAGGTCTTTGGTGGCATTTATGGATTTGGAAAAGGCGTATGACAGGGTGGATAGGGGGGCAAAAGTGGCAGATGTTGCAAGTGTATGTGTAGGAGGTAGTTACTGAAAGCAGTGAAGAGTTTTTACGAGGATAGTGAGGCTCAAGTTAGGTATGTAGGAAAGAGGGAAATTTTTTCCCAGTAAAAGTAGGCCTTAGACAAGGATGTGTGATGTCACCGTGGTTGTTTAATATATTTATAGATGGGGTTGTAAGAGAAGTAAATGCGAGGGTTTTGGCAAGAGGCGTGGAGTTAAAAGATAAGAATTCCCCACACAAAGTGGGAGTTTCACAGCTCTCTTTGCTGATGACACTGTGCTCTTGGAGATTCTGAAAGAGAAGTTGCAGAGGATTGGTGGATGAATTTGGTAAGGTGTGCAAAGAAGAAAATTAAAGGTGAATACAGGAAAGAGTAAGGTTATGAGGATAACAAAAAGATTAGGTGATGAAAGATTGAATATCAGATTGGAGGGAGAGAGTATGGAGGAGGTGAACGTATTCAGATTTTTGGGGAGGGGACGTGTCAGCGGATGGGTCTATGAAAGATGAGGTGAATCATAGAATTGATGAGGGAAAAAGAGTGAGTGTGCACTTAGGAGTCTGTGGAAACAAAAACTTTGTCCTTGGAGGCAAAGAGGGAATGTATGAGAGTATAGTTTTACCAACGCTCTTATATGGGTGTGAAGCGTGGGTGATGAATGTTGCAGCGAGGAGAAGGCTGGAGGCAGTGGAGATGTCATGTCTGAGGGCAATGTGTGGTGTGAATATAATGCAGAGAATTCGTAGTTTGGAAGTTAGGAGGAGGTGCGGGATTACCAAAACTGTTGTCCAGAGGGCTGAGGAAGGGTTGTTGAGGTGGTTCGGACATGTAGAGAGAATGGAGCGAAACAGAATGACTTCAAGAGTGTATCAGTCTGTAGTGGAAGGAAGGCGGGGTAGGGGTCGGCCTAGGAAGGGTGGAGGGGAGGGGTAAAGGAGGTTTTGTGTGCGAGGGGCTTGGACTTCCAGCAGGCATGCGTGAGCGTGTTTGATAGGAGTGAATGGAGACAAATGGTTTTTAATACTTGACGTGCTGTTGGAGTGTGAGCAAAGTAACATTTATGAAGGGATTCAGGGAAACCGGCAGGCCGGACTTGAGTCCTGGAGATGGGAAGTACAGTGCCTGCACTCTGAAGGAGGGGTGTTAATGTTGCAGTTTAAAAACTGTAGTGTAAAGCACCCTTCTGGCAAGACAGTGATGGAGTGAATGATGGTGAAAGTTTTTCTTTTTCGGGCCACCCTGCCTTGGTGGGAATCGGCCGGTGTGATAATAAAAAAAAATAAAAAATGTTAAAATCCACATTACCTGTAATCAGTCATAAACCAGCCTGTAATCCTTAACCCCTTGACTATCGCATCCTCAAATCCTGAGGTGTCTCCTGGTGTTGCAAAATTTCCAAAAAAAAAAAAAAAAATTTTTTCTTATGAAATGATGGAGAATCTTTTCCTGATTATAATGACACCAAAAGAACAAAATTTGATGGAAAATTGACAGATTTACGCTCTTGTGAAGTTAGCGACCTCAGCAATATTTACAAATCGGCAATTTCGCCCACTTTGAGCCCTATTTTCGGCTTATTCCATTCTTCCAGTCGACCAAACTCATAGTTATTTCTTTAGAACTCCATTTTTTCTATTGATTGAGTACAAGAAACTGTCCATTTACTGATTTCAACTTTCTAATAACATGGTCAGAAATTTGCAATTTGGCCAATTTCACGAAAATTAAAAAGTATGACAGTTTCAAAGTAAGGTCCAGAATGAACAATGCAGACATTCCTAGCTTTAAAATAGCATTTTCTTTGTTCATCAGTCATATGTCCAGGCCCTTCTGATATTACTCTTGCTTTCTATTTTGAATTTTTATTCAAACAAAAAATAGAAGATTTACTGTTATGCAGACTACTACAATATTGTAATAATTGTATAAATAATGTCAACCCATTCATGACTGCATATTAGAATGGCTAGTTGGACATTTATTGGACAATAACATCATTTGTTTACTTTTGAACATCGGCAAAAATCAAACATTTCCCCTACTTTGAGCTCCATTTCAAGGTTCTTTTCATAGTACAACCAATCAAAATCACCTCTACTTCTATAATATGTTTTCCATTCTATCAAATGAGACCAAGAAAACGAGAATACAACCATAAATACGATACAAAAATATACCACAAATTTGGCATTTTAATTAAAAAAAAAGGTCGGAGTTTTTTTTTTCTCATTATGCACTGCGTGCTGCAGGATTTTTTTTATATGGTGCACACTGACCACGCAGACCCATTCTCTCACACGTGGGCCTACCAGCTTTCTCCTGCTTGATTTGAAGCTGCTAGAATTTACGAGTATATGTACGTCAAAAACAGTGGCTCATAAGGCGTATATATACGACCGAAACAGTCAAAGGGTTAAAACAATTAAACTCGATAAAAGTGTTAATTGTAATTTATAAATTTATTGTTCCAACCATTAGAGACCATGTGTAAACAGTCAATTAATTATTTCCTTGTGAGTCTTAAGATTGACTTAAGTTTGCCTGAAATTTATTTATTTATTTATTTATTTATTTATTAATTTGAACATGATAGAGTAGTAGAAATGATCTGTATACCAAAGGGCTTTCTGCATGCACACCTAAATGTTATCTCTGTACACACATTGTATCATGCTGAAATAAGGAATTAACATTAACATTTAAGAAAACCACTCTTTTGCACCTGCCAGCAATTGTTGCTTATTGCGCAGGGTCAGGAACCTAAGAGACTATACTCTCCTCAAAACAAGTCCTGTCTCAAGTAAGCACTATACATTACTCAATTTCCTTTTTAAAAAATGAAATTTGATTCAATATAATATCGTGAAACACACTTCTTCTTTCTTTCAACAAACCGACCATATCTCACCAAGGCAGGGTGGCCCAAAAGTAAAAACAAAAATATCCTGAGACACACCTCAGATTATAACATGAGTGTCACCAAAAAAATAGAATTTGCTTAATATAAAATTCACATCTTGGTTGTTATATGGGAGTATGTTATGTTACTTATTATTTATGTTCTAAGTTTCCAGATAGTAAAGAAAGCTGATACATCGTAAATCTTTAAGATATTAATTAAAGTATTTTCTTCTAGCAGGTGACTTTGATATGTCTTGTGGAATCTGTATCAGCATCCCAGGTTATGAAATGAGGGGAGCTGGCTCATCGGCACATTGGGAGTATGAGGTTTGTTTTGTAGCTTACTGATGTTTGCTATAGCTATATAATAACATATTAATATTAAATGGAATTCTTACCATAAATACAGTGTAGAAAGTATTGCTTATCATTAAATATTGGGCATTTTTAAAGTTGGCTAAATGATGCATCCCCTTATTTTCTCATATGTGGTAGCACAAATAGAACGGTGCATACACCAGATTTTATTTACTTAATTTTTGTTTTTTACCACAATGGCTGGCTCCAACCAAGGTATAGTGAACCAAAACAGAAGGATACACATTCACCATCATTCATTCGATAACTGTCTTGCCAGATATGCATAACTTCACAATTCAAACAACCCATTGAACTGCAGCATCCCCACCCCTCCTTCAGAATACAAGCTTTGTACTTCCCACCTCCAGGATTCAAGTTTGGCTAACTGGTTTCCCTGAATCCCTTTGTAAATGTTACTTTGGTAATTGTACACCAATAGCACATTAAGCCATAAAAATCATTTGTCTCCACTCACTTCAATCAAACACAATTTCACAAGCCTGTTGGATACTCTAACCTTAGCACTAAAAATCTCCTTCATCGTATCCCTTCAACCCTTCCTAGGATGATCCTACCCCTCCTCCCTTCCACCATAGATTTATACATCCTCTAAGTCTTAGTCATCCTATTCTGCTTCATCGTCTCGTGCACCTTATATGCCAGGAAATACAACATATCTTTAGTATCTCCAACCATCTTGTAATTCTATGCTCCAAATTCTGTGCATAATATTCACACCACACATTACCCTCAAACATTACATCGCCTCCTCATGATGAAGTTTAAAACACTTGCTTCACACCCATATAACTGTTGGTATCACTATACTGGTATATTTCCATTTTTTGCCCCCTTGGATAAAGTTCATTGTCTCTATAGATGCCTCAATGCACCATCCACCTTTTTATTACCTTTTGTCAGTTCTGTGGTTCACTTCATCTTTTAGATACATCACCAAGAAGTTCACTCCTAAATCATCATCTTCCAGTGAACTGGCCATATCCCACCAAGGCAGGGTGGCCCAGAAAGGAAAACAAGTTTCTCTTTTTAAGTTTAGTAATGTATACAGGAGAAGGAGTTACCACTCCCAAATAAATAAACTTACTTACTTCCTCCATACTCCCTCCAATCTTACATTGCCTAGTTTTTTTTTTTTTTTTTTTACTCTCATCACCTTGCTGTTTCCTATGTTCGCTTTTAATTTTTTTCTCTTACATACTCTCTCAAATTCCTATGCCATTCTTTGCAACTTATCTTCAAAATCTCCCAAAAGAACCATGTCATCAAAAAGGAACAACTATGAGAATTATTATCTTTTAATGCCACACCTCTTCCCAACACCCTGGCACTCACTTCTTATCCAACCCCTTTTCTTTAACACACCAGTCTTCTCCCACAATTCAGATGCCCCTCCTAACTGCAGATATCTTCCTCCCATCACTCCTTCACAGTGCAGGTGCAGTACTTCCCACCTCCAGGACCAACTAACTGGTTTCCCTGAATCCCTTCATAAATGTTACCTTGCTCATACTCAACAGCACAATCATAAAAACCACTTGCCTCCATGTACTTCTATCTAACACTCACACATGTTTGTTGGATGCCTAAACCCCTCACATACAAAAGCAGTTAACCCCCCTACCTCTCCTAGAGTGATCCTTACCCCTCCTTCCCTCCACTATACATTTATAAATCCTCCAAGTCATCTAACCCCCATCAATAATGGTAAATACCATAGTTACAATATTTGTGATTAATTAAAGATGGGAAACTGCAAGCTTACCTTTAACTACAGACATGTGCTACCGTACATTCTATAATAATTGTGATGTTTGCATGTGTCTGGCAAGACAGCAGCTGTTGAATAAATGATGGCGAGCTGTTAGGAGTGTGAGCGAGGTAATATTTGGTGGAGGGATTCAGGGAAACCGGTTATTTTTATATAGCTGGATTGAGTGCTGGAAATGGGAAGTACAGTGCCTGCACTTTAACCCGTAAACGGTCCAAACGTACTTATACGTTTTTTCAACATTTGAAAGTATGTAAAAAAAGTAGATCTTTTTTTTTTTTTTTTTTTTTTTACATTTGAAAATGTGTAAAAAAAACTTAGATCTACTTTTTTTTTTTTTTATATTTGAAAATATGTAAAAAAACGTAGATCTACTTTTGGAGCACTACACATGTGAACGTAGATCTGCTTGGACAGTTTACGGGTTAAAGGAGGGGTTTGGAATATTAGCAGTTTGGAGGGGTATGTTATATATCTTTATATATGCTTCTAAACTCCATGGGGAAGTGGAACATAATTCTTCCTCCGTAAGCCATGCGTGTTGTAAGAGGCAACTAAAATGCCGGGAGCAAGGGGCTAGTAACCCCTTCTCCTGTATAAATTACTAAATTTAAAAAGAGAAACTTTTGTTTTCCTTTTTGGGCCACCCTGCCTTAGTGGGATACGGCCGGTTTGTTGAAAGAAAGAAGATACGCTTCTAAACTGTTGTATCTGGGCACCTTTGCAAAGACAGTGATTATGTGTGAGTGAGGTGATAGTGTTGAATGATGATGAAAGTATTTTCTTTTTGGGTCACCCTGCCTCGGTGGAAGACGGCCAACTTGATGAAAAAAAAAAAAAAGAATGTGTATTGTTCTCTGAGTAATCCCACCTTGGTTGGAAATGGCCAGTGTGATAAAAAAAAATAAAAAAGAAGTTACTGAAAGATATTTACACTTTTTTTTACAGATAAAAATTTCAGCGGGAAATGATTCTTGGGCAGTTTTCAGAAGATATAGAAGATTCAGGGAACTTCATATGTACATGTGTCATAAATATGGTCCACCTGTAAGTATTAATTTCAGCACTTTTTTTCAGGAAATTTTTCAGAATTGCAATTAATGATTCAAAATCTGTGTTTACATTGATTGTTTAAATGTACATGGAGGGAATGTCCAAATTGTAAAAAATTGATAACTCCCTCCTATTTGAAGAAGAAAATATAGAAATCAAGGATTTCCAAAATACTGTTTCTATCTTTTGCCGCAGTATATTCAAATTAACACTCTAAGTAGCTGTCATGTAGAACTACGTCATTGAGGCCAGGGGTACCTCTTGTAGTTCATCATGAGCTCAGCTCACTCAGATAAGCTATGAGTGGTTTATTTTGGCTTAGATATGAGAGAATGGGTTTGTGTGGTGAGTGTGCACAGTATAAAAAATCCTGCCCCATGCATTGCATGGTGGGAAAAGCTAAACTCTGACCATGTGCTTGGTTTTAAATATCCAGTTCGAGGTGTTTTCTACAGTAGTGTGCATATTAATTGGGACAGTGATGAAGTAAGACATTTTTTTTTTTTTTAAATGCACAGCAATGATATGACAGGTAACTGATTTAATAAGAGATATGACTACCCTTTGCTTTTATAAACATTGCTACATGCTTTGGCAAAGACTCAAACAATGTTGAACACATTTTAGCAAGTTCTTCATTGTGGTACTAGGTCCTAATAACAGCAACAATTAGTTTCTCCATGGTTGAGCAGTCCTGTTTCACGATCCTGCATTTGGTTATTGCCCATAGATTCTCAGTTGGATTGAGGCCAGGAGAGTTTCCAAGCCAATTTAGAATGCTTAGCCCACTCTCTTTGAAGAATGTCAGTATTTTTCTGGAAGTGTGGCATGGAGAAAGATCCTGCTGGAGAATGCCTTCTTCATCAAAGGCAAATAAATTTCTAGGATTGCCTTGTACTGATCACTGTTCATCGTTCCCTCAACAATAAGAGGGCATCCAGGGCCTTTAGCAGTAAAACTATCCTGGAACGTCTTAGATGGATGTTTTGGCACTTGTTGAATGTGTCCATTCTGAAGAGGTTCACCTTTGCTCTGTTTCACTATCACTGATCTATACCCATGTACTTCAAAATGCTCCACATCTGAAAATATAACTTCTCCATTTGTCTGATCGAGTGCCCACTCCAGTGATTTTTTCTTCATAGCAACAGTCAATAATTGTTTATTTACTGGCTTTCTGGCAGTTCTGCAAGCTTCATGGAGCCTTCATTGAATAATTGAAGAATCAACATTTATGTCAGCTGAAGCCAAATCTCTCTGTAGATCTTAACTGGTTTTCTTGGGATCCTTCACACAATTTTTTGTGATAACCTTGTCATCGTGAGATGTTCTCTTACGTTTTCTTCCACATCTTCAACACAGCTCAGCTCCGTTCGGAATCTGACCAATGGTTGACATTGCTTGGCTCAAATTTTCAGCGATCTGTCTGATACTCAAATTTGAATGTTTTCTAGGAGCTACAATACTTGCATACTTCCTAGGTGTAACATCCATTATGAATTTCAGCAGTAATCATGAATTGAAGGGGAGAATTTGGCAAAAACCACATTCACTCACAGAGCACACTTGCAGGAATAGCCTTAGAGAACAACAGCTATTGTAGCACTGACAAGAATTGCTGGGTAACACCACAGCTGGATGATTGGCAGAAGTTAGTAGCAAATTTTTATAAAAAAAAAAAAAAAAAACACTACATTAATTAAGCCGAAGACTTAAAACACAGGAGATAATCACAAAATTTGCTCCTGTCCCAATTAATTTGCACACTACTGTAGGATAGTTTTTGTTGTTTTATTGGCTGTTTTTTTGGTATTTGATAGATTGGAGACATACTACTGAAACAGAGATGATTTTGGTTGGCTGTAGGACTTGAAATAGCTTGAAACTGGGCTGGAAATAAATGGTATAAAATGCTGACACAATGGAAATATAAACACTTAAGCAGTATAATGTGATCCTTTATTGAGAACATTTCGCCCATGCAGTGGGCTTTATCAAGTCACAAATAGATCTGAAACTGGGCTCAAAGTAATGGAAATACTTGATTCTTACTGATTTTCCTAAGGATGGGTAAGGTGCCCTGACATACCCCAGTCTGTATTATGGGTTATTAATAGGTCTAATTCAATTATTGGGATGCTGTAAACCTTGAACAGTCATTCATAGTTATATTCTCCAGGTAACAGAGTAAATTTTCCATTTTTGTATGATTATGATACAACAGGTGGACAACATTTGTTGAGTACTTTACAAGGAAGATGCCTATGTGGCATGGATTTCTTCTCTGTTGCCATGAAACAGTGTTTTGTTTGGTACTTTTGGGTATTGGTACTTCTTCGTCCATTAATTTGTGAGGTATTCCATTTATTTTCCTGAAAATTATCTGAATTAATACCATCAAGCTTCCTGATACTGCTCATCTAGAAGTATTACATTTTTCCTATACAATATTTGTTTATATACCACCCAGGGAGGTACTACCGTCCTGCCAAGTGAGTGTAAAACAAAAGCCTGAAATTGTTTTACATGATGGTAGGATTGCTGGTGTCTTTTTTGTCTCATAAACATGCAAGATTTCAGGTACATCTTGCTACTTCTACTTACACTTAGGTCACACTACACATACATGTACAAGTATATATATACACACTCTCCTGGGTTTTCTTCTATTTTTCTTACTAGTTCTTGTTCTTGTTTGTTTCCACTTATCTCCATGGGGAAGTGGAACAGAATTCTTCCTCAGTAAGCCATGCGTGTCGTAAGAGGAAACTAAAATGCCAAGAGCAACAGGCTAGTAGCCCCTTCTCATGTACAGTGGAACCTCGGTTTTCATTTGCCCTGGTTTTCATCGAATTCGGTTTTCAACGACTTCTTTCGTGAAAATTTTGTCCCAGTTTTCGTCCTTCACCTTGCTTTTTATCGAGTTGACAGTGGTCTGCTGTACCAAAAGTGTCTGTCCATGCCCACACAAAGCATCCCACATGCTCTTAGTCAGTCTGGCTTTGTTTCTCATCAGTAGAGGGTGGTAGTGATGGTGGTAGAGGGTGGTAGTGATGGTGGTAGTGATAGTGGTAGAGGGTGGTAGTGGGTGGTAGTGATGGTGGTAGAGGGTTGTAGTGACGGTGGTAGAGGGTGGAAGTGGTGATGGTAGAGGGTGGAAGTGGTGGTGGTAGAGGGTGGTAGTGGTGGTGGTAGAGGGTGGTAGTGGTTGTGATTGTGGTAGAGGGTGGTAGTGGTTGTGATTGTGGTAGAGGGTGGTAGTGATAGTGGAGGGTGGTAGTGATGGTGGTAGAGGTGGTAGTGATGGCAATGGAGGGTGGTAGTGATGGTGGTAGATGGTGGTAGTGATGGTGGTAGAGGGTGTAGTGATGGTGGTAGAGAGTGGTGGTAGAGGACAGTAGTGGTTGTGATGGTGGTAGAGGACAGTAGTGGTTGTGATTGTGGTAGAGGGTGGTTGTGATTTTGGTAGAGGGTGATAGTGGTACTGATTGTGGTAGAGGGTGGTAGTGGTTGTGATGGTGGTAGAGGATGGTAGTGGTGGTGGTAGTGGTTATGATGGTGGTAGTGGTTGTGATGGTAGTAGAGGGTGGTAGTGATGGTGGTAGAGGGTAGTAGTGATGGTGGTAGAGGGTGGTAGTGATGGTTGTAGAGGGTGGTAGTGGTTGTAATGGTGAAAGGTTGTAGTGGTAGTGATGGTGGTAGAGGGTGGTACTGATGGTGGTAGTGGTTGCAATTGTGGTTGAGGGTGGTTGTGATTGTGGTAGAGGGTGGTAGTGATGGTGGTAGAGTGTGGTAGTGGTTGTGATGGTGGTAGAGGGTGGTAGTGGTTGTGATTGTGGTAGAGGGTGGTAGTGGTTGTGATGGTGGTAGAGGGTGGTAGTGGTTGTGATGGTGGTAGAGGGTGGTAGTGGTTGTGATGGTGGTAGAGGGTGGTAGTGATGATGGTAGAGGATGGTGGTGGTAGTGATGGTGGTAGAGGGTGGTAGTGATGGTGGTATAGGGTGGTAGTGATGGTGGAAGAGGGTGGTAGTGGTTGTGGTAGAGGGTGGAAGTGATGGTGGTAGTGATGGTTGTAGAGGGTGGTAGTGATGGTGGTAAAGAGTGGTAGAGGGTGGTAGTGGTTGTGATGGTGGTGAAAGGTTGTAGTGGTAGTGATGGTGGTAGAAGGTGGTAGTGGTTGTGAAATGGTAGTGGTTGTGATGTGGTAGTGGTTCTGATGGTGGTAGAGGGTGGTAGTGATGGTGGTAGATGGTGGTACTGATGGTGGTAGTGGTTGTGATTGTGGTTGAGGGTGGTTGTGATTGTGGTAGAGGGTGGTAGAGTGTTGTAGTGGTTGTGATGGTGGTAGAGGGTGGTAGTGGTTGTGATGGTGGTAGAAGGTGGTAGAGGGTGATGGTGGTAGAAGGTGGTAGTGGTTGTGATGGTGGTAGTGATGATGGTAGAGGATGGTGGTGGTAGTGATGGTGGTAGAGGGTGGTAGTGATGGTGGTATAGGGTGGTAGTGATAGTGGAAGAGGGTGGTAGTGGTTGTGGTAGAGGGTGGAAGTGATGGTGGTAGTGATGGTTGTAGAGGGTGGTAGTGATGGTGGTAAAGAGTGGTAGAGGGTGGTAGTGGTTGTGATGGTGGTGAAAGGTTGTAGTGGTAGTGATGGTGGTAGAAGGTGGTAGTGGTTGTGATGTGGTAGTGGTTCTGATGGTGGTAGAGGGTGGTAGTGATGGTGGAAGAGGGTGGTAGTGATTGTGGTAGAGGGTGGTAGTGATTGTGGTAGAGGGTGGTAGTGGTTGTGATTGTGGTAGAGGGTGGTAGTGATTGTGGTAGAGGGTGGTAGTGATTGTGGTAGAGGGTGGGAGTGATGGTGTAAAGAGTGGTAGAGGGTGGTAGTGGTTGTGATGGTGGTAAAGGGTGGTAGTGATGGTGGTAGTGGTTGTGATGGTGAAAGGTTGTAGTGGTAGTGATGGTGGTAGAGGGTGGTAGTGATGGTGGTAGAAGGTGG